AGGAGCTGGACAGTGAACTAGGTAAACCCTCCCAGCCTGCATAACTTGCCCTGGATGCCTTGGTCCCCAGTGACTTGCTTAATCCCTCTGTTTCTTTAGTTTGCACTTCTCCAGTTATGATTTTCATTCTGGCTTAGCCACGAAAGGTCAATCGTATACAACCCATGTGTCCGACTGCAGACATCACACAGAGTTGTAATAAGTTGTGTCTACAAAGAAGTCGTCTGAGGGAATTGGGACTAGAATGAGAGTTAGCAGATCAGTGCCAGATACTCTCGTAAATTGAGGAGTAAGAAAAAACAGGGATAGATGCTTGCCATGTCCCTTGAACTCTCCTATAATCTATCTCGGGCTCATTTCTTTATTTTTTTGGTGTGGGTGGCTTTCTCCATGGGGAATACAGAAAAGCAAAACAAAAATCTTCCAGACTAGCTGAAAGATCTTAGAGTAACAGCAGTACAACAATTCCACTGATTAGCTGAATGGGTACTAAGTCCTAGTATTATGTTGTTACTCAGTCACAGGCTACATGTTGACTTTGTAATCATAGTGAATGGCTTGAAAACCGGATCCTGGGTTTATATGTGTCATTTTCCTCAGAGTGTGTATGTCAATGGAAATCAAGTCTTGATTAGTCCAAGCTCTTGCAGTTCAGAAATAATTTACATTAGCAGATAATTCCAAACTCTTTTATCTTTCCTCTTAGAATATATTGAATTATATTCCCTGCTAAGTTAAATGTTTTATGTTCAGCTTTTTTTTTTTTTTTTAAATAATTTTAATTATTTATTTATTTTTATTTTTGTCTGTGTTAGGTCTTTGTTGCTGAGCACGGGCTTTCTCTAGTTGCAGCAAGCGGGGGTTGCTCTTCGTTGCGGTGCGTGGGCTTCTCATTGCAGTGGCTTCTCTTGTTGCGGAGTGCGGGCTCTAGGCAAGCGGGCTCAGTAGCTGTGGTTCGCGGGCTCTAGAGCGCAGGCTCAGTAGTTGTGGTGCACGGGTTTAGTTGCACCACGGTGTGTGGGATCTTCCCAGGCCAGGGCTCGAACCTGTGTCCCCTGCATTGGCAGGCGGATGCTTAACCACTGCGCCACCAGGAAAGTCCCGAAAGATCTATTTTTAAAGACGTATAATAAATTGTCCTTGTGGTCATTGTGGTAGGAATGACTTGAGATTCAACCTGTGTAACAGAACAATTTGAAACTCATTTTATAAATTAAAAAAAAAAGTATTAATCCAGTGATATTAGATAAAATCATTGAAAAATATAGAACTAGCTTTTCCAGATGAAAAATGAGTGCCTCGATCCTTTGTGGAACCAATTTAAACTACTCTGGCCACCTGACTAATGTGTGTGAGTGCCCACCACTGTGTGTGGGCAGTTGGTGAGATAATTCCACTGTGCATAGCGGGCACAGCCTTATTTGCTTCTGTGGAAGCTTGAATGTTGAAGTTTTCAGGAAAGAATCAGCTGTCTTCTTTTCTCATGTATCTATAACATTGTAGAAACTTTCCTGTGCTGTTAAAGACTCTACAAAGTAAGTTTTACTGGCTCACTTACCTTCTTACCTTCTCTTGGTCAGAGCCACAGTTCTGGGAGATGGTTTGGTGAAGTGGGAGCTGTCTCTGGGGTCAGGGCAGGTTGCCTAGACTCATATCTGGGTTCCACCACTTATTTGCTCTGTGACCTTGGGCAAGTCATTCACCTTCCCTTAGCTTCTTGTTCCTTACCTGTGAAGAGGGGCTGAAAGAGGAGGTCTCATTGGGCTTAAGAGGAGACTTAATAATAATATGTCTTAATATTTGCCCCTGAGATCAGCACATGTTGTTTTTGCCAGTTTTCTGATTTAGTAACTAATTATTTCTTGTTGGCCTTTTCAATGTTTCCTTATGATACTTTTTGTGTTTAATATGGGGCAGGAGTGCAACATGTATACAATAGAAATGGCCCAAATGTGTCCTTATTCACAGACACACACACACACACACACACACACACACACACACACACACAATGCAAGTTTTTCCTTGCATTCACTTCAGATTCCTTTGACAAGCTCACTGCCCATTTTCTTAATAAGAGGATCCTAACTGCAAACAATAGCAACTGTCAGGTTTTCAATGAACAGTTCGATTCCAGATGTGACAAGGAAACCCTCTCTATAATCTGCCTCTGAGAGGCAGCGGCAGTGGGCTTGGGTGTTGGACACAGATCATTTGATTGCAGAATTGTCATTTCTGAACTCTGTTGTCTGGGCTGGGTCACTAGCTCCATTATGCACTTTGGTTTTGCAGAATTTATCACGTCTTCTGCAGTAATCTCCGCAGAATGAAAAAGCACTTGAAGAGCCTTCTTTTCGAATTACAGAGTATTCATGAGACAGGGAAATGAGATTCCCTCCCAATCAACACTGAATTACAGTGTAGAACCATATCTCTGACTGTGAACTTGACTTTCAATCTGTGTGCTGACACAACTCTTGGAACATTTGTCTGCTCCATATTCACTTCCATGGCGATGATTAGTACAACGTGAGATTTTTAGTGGTAGGAACAGCAAGCAAGCAGGCCATATAGATTTGTCCAGTTCGTTTTGGGCTTTCCTAGAAGCGTTGCTATTAGCTGAGCTTAGGTGCCAGGTGCTGTGTAAAAGGTTTTACAAACATCCTTATTTAGTCTACAGTTGACCTTTGAGGTAAATCCAGGACAAAGATGTGGTTTCGAGATGTTAAGTAACTAGCCAAACACTAGACTGATAAAACCTTAGGGCTAAGAGGGAAGAGATATGGGAACATATGTATATGTATAGCTGATTCACTTTGTTATAAAGCAAAAACTAACACACCATTGTAAAGCAATTATACTCTAATAAAGATGTTAAAAAAACAAAAACAAAAACATTAGGGCTAAAGTTCAGACCAACATCTGGACAATCCCGAAAAGGTCTGAGCCACCTGAAATCTCGGTGACATCTTGTACAGACTGTTCTGATGTCTGACAGTTATTAGACATGGGGGTGTGGCTCTCTGTGTATCTTCTTAGAGTAGTTTAGAAAAAAAAAAATTTGTAACGCCATCATTTTCTGGGCTTCAGTATTTTCTGCCATTTTCAACTTTTTAGAACCAAATGGCACATTGGAAGACAAACATCTTGTTTTTAAATCGATGACCCATTTCTATTTTAAGCTTTCAGAGACTAATTCCTATTATTAAGTTAATCACCACATGGGAAGTGAGAAATCTATCTTTTCAATTTTAAATGAGTTTTAGCTGGAAAAACTGGAACGTTTCTGTAGTTTGCTAATCTGTCCCAGAAGATGTTTTTAAATTTACAAACGTCCAGAAATACCAGTTGACCGACCTCATGTCTCAACTCTAGCATGTAAATTGTTGAGTAGGTGACAGGGCAAAGTCAGAGGTGGCTTCTTATCTTGTAGCCTCCTTGGACCTCCATCAAAGCACTTAACCATGTGATGTATGAATTGTCTGCCCAGCCGGTGCACTTGTAATTATCTTTGTGTACCTGGCACCTAGCATACCTTCAGGCAGACAGTAGGCACTAAATAAATGTTTGACAAATAATGGAATGAATTGAATTCTTAAATTTTTTCCCTATTTTATCTGAAGATAATCAGGCCATATATTAAGGTTACAGATTTTGAAAAGAAGTTTGGTTAAACATGATGTGGTACCCTCACACCCACTCACTCTTCTGCCCCATGGCAGCACAAGCATATGCGTGGGCACCAATTTGCATTTTTGTAATCTTCTGATTTCCCAACTCTTTGGAAATGTTTTCCTGGTTCGTTTGCATTTAAATGGTAATTTCCAGCATTGTAAGGGGAAACCATTTCCCAGGCATTTGATTTGCATCAGTCCGCGAGACGCGGTGTATAAAAATGCCAAGTTATATCAACATCTGCACGTTGGCCCTGCCTTGCATTTTAGTAGCTTATGTCTCCCAGAATTCAAAGACTTCCTTAAAACCTGCTAAGTGTTTTGTTTTGTTTTGTTTAAAAAAAGGAAGCAAAGGGGGGAACCTGTCTCTTTGTTTGAAAACAAATAATAGGTGGAGCAAAAACCATGAAATTAATGTCTCTTGATGTGCAGCCAAATCTGAGCAAAACATAAACTTTAAGTAATTAGCCCCTGTGTGTGTATATGTGCACGTGCACATGACTTCATTTCTTACCTTGAACCAAAAAAAAGGGAAAGAAATTTAAGGAGAATTGCTGCTCTGCCTGAAGAATTGTTTAATGACGCAAAATACAATGTAGTTGCTTCTTTCACCAAATTATCTGGTGCAGTGGGCTTTTTCACAGTAGGTTCTTATTATGACCCACCATTACCTAGTTAATGAAGTTGCAACCTTTGATATGAAACCTATGAAGTTCGGTAGAGCACAGGTGAGTTCTCAGAAAGGCACACATATCACCCAATGCCATTTTACCACCACATTTAAAGGAATAAAGTCTACCCACTTAGGTAGTGAGTCTTGGAGAGCAGGACCTGTGTTTCTGCTTTCATAGGCACAGCCCCGGTGAAGATGGGCCTGTCCAGATACAGCAATTGAGTTGTAGTTGTGTGCAATTCAAAAATCCAACTCCATGTGGCCATTTTTATTTACTTGGTAGCATTTTAATTAGGAACAAGGAGAAAATAAGATGCAAATTTTAATTTATTCCAGGGAGAGCAGAAAGGGCACTATTGTATTGAAAATGAAAGGAAACATTCCTCCATTTTTGCTTGTGTGATAAGGTAGTCTAGCAATAAAATGAGAAAACAGCAAATATTTAAAATAGGAACTAGGCGTTTGAGGCAAAACTTAACTATATTTCCATTAAAATCTCATTTAATAGTTGATTTAGAATGAAGGCACCTGAGACTGCATTTTATTAAGTTTCATTTGCTTGTGCAAAATATCAGTAAAGAATTGCTCTTTGTGTAGAAAAATACACCAATAAAATAATTCTCACTCTTTTTTTTTTTTTTTTTTTTTTTTTT